AAACTTCACCGATAGGTAACATGTTAGGCCAAAAGCATCCTCCCCTATGTTCATGACAGACAAAAAACCTCTTGAAAGTGCTTTGGATTGTTAGAGAGCAGAGTCTCCGTGTTCTTGGTTATTTTAAGCCCCATCAGAGACGTGAGCTCACAAGAAGTGCATTAGTCTTTCTGACAGGATATAAAACATGTTGAACGAAAGTTGGGAATTGTTTTGGACTGCAGTGCTGCTCAAATAACTGAAACAATATTTCTTCTTTTTTATCAAATCATAGATATTTATCTCTTCTACCACTGAAATGGTCTCTTTGTGTATATCACTGTATGTGTATGTGTGTGCGTATGACTGTACATGACTGTGTAGCCTACTAAAATCTCAGATGAAGCTCATTGCACGCTCTACAGGATATTTATGTTGGTTTTATTTTCATGGCATAATTGCTCCCACATTGCTTTGTGGCTGAGGACCATGAAACTCTGTAAACATACCCCTCTACCTCTACACAGTCCCCCTGACTACCAGAGATGGGGCTCAGTGATTGGTGATGTGTGGTTATCAATCATTTATCTGCAGGGTGGCACCTTGGAAACAACCAAAAAAAAAATGACATTAAAAAGGAATGCCCTATTGACTTCAACTTTTCAAGGCTTTTTTCAGGGCTACATACATAACATAACATAACAGCCTTCAGACATTGAGGATTATTGAATTGTCTGTCTTGGTGTGGAACTGTGGAACAGTGTGTGCTTGCGTGCAAAAATGTGTACTTCTGTGCGTATGCTGCTGTCTAATTAAATTGAATTGGCTTTGGGAGTGTTGCTAAAATTTGTGGACAGTGTCCAGCTCACTCCTACGTATGCAGCGTAGATTATTTCCTCTTCTGACCTGTGCCTACTACACTGGGCTGCTCTCCATGAGCTCATAGGAAGTGTGAAAATAAACTCCTCACAAGGATTTGCCGATATGACTTTATATTGAAAATGACAATGTAGCCATGTCACATTTATAGTATACTTCGGTTTTCTGTGTCAGTCAGAGCAGAGTCCCGTTATAGCAGCAGCTCTGCTCAGTATGGTCTTATATATTTAGTATACGAGAAAAATGTCTGATTTCTAACCATACTGTGTTTTCTCTTTGTGCAGGGCTCCAGAGATCATCCTGGGCCTGCCGTTCTGTGAGGCCATAGACATGTGGTCCCTGGGCTGTGTGATAGCCGAGCTCTTCCTGGGATGGCCCCTCTACCCTGGAGCCTCAGAGTACGATCAGGTAACATCTAATGGTTACTTGGCCCTTCAAACTGTTCGGGTGCTACCATGAATCAACGTTCATGCACAGATATGTTTATGTGTATGCATTTTTGTGTGTTCTCTTTCCATGAGTTTGTGCTTGTGAGTGTGTTTGGGAGGGTGGGATGCTTCTCAAATCCCCCTGACAGCCCCTGATGATTCTTGCGCAGCCTCCCTGTTTATCTGAACAGATGCCACAGAGCCACTTGTCCAATTAGCACAGCCCCTGTGCTCCCGAGCAAGACATTGCCGCGTTCCCCTCTCTCTATCAGTCAGACGAGGCTCAGTGGGAAAACCTTGAGCAAGTTGTGCTCCATCACTGAACAAGCTTGCCTGATTTTTCACAAGCCCAAAAACTTAGGAAAGTGTCTCATTTACAAGTCTCAAATCAATCTTAGACTCTTGAGCTGAGGTCATGTTTGGGTGCTATGCATATTTCAGCCAGATAAGTCTGGGGTTGTTAATGTCAGCTTAGATTTTCAAACTGCCAAGAGAACATCCATCCCAAAGTTTTAGCCTTTTTCCGCATTGGCAGGGAAGATTCAGAGTGCTCCCCAATTACATGCAACTTATGTTTCAATCATGCATATGATGTGAAAAGTCTCACATGCATCTTTCATCTTATGTCTTGCAGATCCGGTACATCTCACAGACACAGGGTCTGCCTGCAGAGTATCTGTTGAGTGCAGGGACAAAGACCACCAGGTTCTTCAACAGAGACCCAGACTCCACCTATCCTCTCTGGAGACTTAAGGTACAGCTGGAATGATACAGACGCATTCACACAAATACGCACAAATCCCAAGCTGGTAGCATTAAGAAGATCCTTCTGGGAGCAGCTGATATTTTTGCCGGCAATATCTATCATTGATATTCCAGAAACTCTGGCAATCACTGTGTGAGGCATTGATGGCCATGTTTCTGGCTAAAGTTAGAAGGTAATGAGAGCTGAATGAGAGGATTTGTCAAAGGGAAGGCCAGCCTGATGATTCCAGCTCAGAGGGTGTCTGCTCTAACCCCCTCCCACTGTCCCTCTATGTAGGCCACTCAACAAGGAGGTCCGCTCCTCTCTTTTGTACCCTAATTGACTTAAGTTGAACTTTTATGTGCCACACAGTGAATTTATGAAACAGATAAATCCTTACACCAGATAGCTCCCGTAGAGAACATTTTATTTGGAAATGACATTTAGGGCACAATGCTCTTCCTCAGTCTTCCACACAGCGGATTTACTCATTGAGTTCTTGACTGTATCGAACTGCAAATACCAATCCATCTCTTCAGGGTATGGCAATGTTTTTACAATGTCTGCTCCAACTGTGCCAAAGATTGATCTGCAGAGACAAGTACATTTGTTTCTTATGAGTCAGAGTAAGATACCATACTGACAACAACTGAATATGATGATTGGCCAGTAAGACGTATAATAACATAGTGTACGTGCTCTCAAGTCAGCCACCCACTGGCTTTTAGCAACTGTCAGGTAAAAATTGCACAAATTTTTCTTGTTTTGCTCTGATTTCTCAGTCCTCTCTGAAAACTGTATGACCTATGGGCTTATGAGGACATTTAAAACACATTGTTTAAACGAGTTGGGTTTCTGAGTTCCTGAAGATAAGAGTTGACTGCAGCATTGTGGGTAAGACACAGAGACAGATTATTAGCTTGCACTTGACACCACTGCTATAACTCCTCATGATTTTCTAGTGTCTTGGGTATATGGAAAATCAAACTTCAAGGATTCCTGACCACTTTTTTCCACTCTGAAGAGAGATTGCTCAGCTTTAATTTGACCTTGCCATGTGTTTCCATGTAACAGCAGCTGCAGTGCTTTGCTGACTGTAATTAAAAATATCATGTGTTCAGTCATGAGGTTTCTATAGTCAACACAGATTAGTTTTGTGTAAATTTGCATCCTTTGGAAAAGAGTGATCACATGTGTTTATACTTCTCTGTGCATTTTCATATAGTTTACGTAAATGTGTTTCCATGTGAAACCTTTGTGAGAGTAGAGCAGTTCAGATTCTGTATATTGTCTCAGTGGTGTAGTGTGCCTCCACGTGGACTCTCCCCCATCTTCCCTGGCTGTTAGATGAGTGTTTGTGTGCTACCCCAGGGTTGCTCAGAGGGCAAACCGAGTCCTGCTGCACATCAACAACAAGAGGCTGTAATGAGCCAAATGTAAATAGTGTGCTTCCAGAGGGGAAGTGTGATGGGATTTGAGAGGAACATCTGCTTCTTGTCTCCCGCAGACTCCAGAGGACCACGAGGGTGAAACGGGGATCAAGTCTAAGGAGGCTCGCAAGTACATCTTCAACTGCTTGGATGATATGGCGCAGGTATGCTGTTTCAGTATCACAAAGCATTTCTTCCCACAAATCGGACAATAGGTATATTATTTGCTTTTGCTCTTGTCTATTGCTTCAATCACAACCTTTTTCAAACTTGAAGCCTCCACTGATGGGTTCTACTCAGCCCAGTTTGATCCATCACATCTATCAGATATTTGAAATCCTTTAAAATATTTATCCTGTCAAGGCCCGATCTCCAGATGCAGTGTAGCCCTGCTGCTATATAGAAATTTGCAGAGTGAAATGAAAGCAGCTGTTCACTGAAACCCCTCCTCAACTCTCTCTCTGCTCTTCATTTGGCTTAACCGCTATCTAATAAGTTACAGACAGCCATTTGAGCTGAACATGTGGTGAGGCCGGTTAACGTGTTTTATATGTACAGTTTGCTTTCTTATTTATGCTGGAGTGAGTGTTGTGGCTCTGTCGTCACTTTGTACATCTATAGTGCAAGTGAGCATGTAGAAGGCAAGGTTGTAAAATGTTGCATGCTCTCTCCTCTCATTCTCACTTGCTAACACACAAACACATGCACACATTCCAGAAGGTCCCCCACCAGTTTTCCAGACCAGCTCAGTGGGACCCGCATCATATTGTGTCTGCATGACTCAGCTGATTAGCCCCCCTCCCTCTGCAGCCCTGCATGTCACATGTTGGAATCTCTTTGTTTAGAAGATCTTACATAACGCCAGGAAGTGACTTATATAGCAGACTTATATATGGAAAAGTGCTGCTACAGAACACAGATATGTCTAATGTCACTTCCCTCTATGACTCAGACTGAATTCATCTCTCCATGGTGGGAAAGTTCACATGTAGCCATGACATTTTGATAGGACGTGCCTGACAGTGAGATGATAGTGAGTGTTGTTTTGTTCGCTCCCGCTCGGCCAAACTGGTTCTGCTGGCAGATATGGCAGTGGTGATGGAAAATTACAACTCAGATCTGTGACAGTACTCTCTTGTCATCATGCACCCCGATCCAGCCTCTGATTACGACTAGCCAAGAGATAAGAGTTAAGCAGGTGAATTATTTCTTTTGGAAGATGGCCATCTTGGTACACAACCAGCTGCAGCCTCTGGAAAATGTTCATGTGGATAGGCAACACATGTAGTGACTGAAATGATGGAGACAATTATGGTTGTCCAGTAGCGCCTAGGGCCGCTGTCAGGCCTGTCTGGAATAACATGCAGTCGGCTGGGACAAGATAGTATCGCTGCCTGGGCTTGTTGAATTCCAGTTACACACACACACACAGACACACACACACACACACACACACACACACACACACACACACACACACACACACACACACATGCAGCACAGAGTTTAATGAAACCAACCTGCACTGGTATGATATCCCTTGGGTCATCTCTCTCTCCAAAGCTTCAAGCTCTGTGTGCCATCTTCCTCTCACTGTTGCAGCCAGACTCAGCTTACTACAAAAACACAGAGGAGATACAGTAGAGCTGCACAAGCTTAATGTGGGAGAAAACTGCCTATTTTGCCCCATCTCACTATCCCGACCGTATAAACAAGTCAGCATTGTGGACATCTGTCTCTGCGTGTATAATGGATGATATAGCTAAAGGCCCTGAAAGACAGAGGGGCTGGGTGCCAGGAAGAGATAATGAACCTCTTTTCAGTCGTGGGAAATGTGGGGAGGCTTTAGTCACAAGTATATCTAATTTGAGTAAATCAGACACCAACTTACAGCAAATGCAGGACCCCGCTTGAGGCCTGATGTAGATTGGAGGAAAGCTGGAACGGCTCGAAAATGGATTCACTTTGATCTGCAATCCTTCAATATCTCTGTTGATAGGACTGAGGCCATGGCAGGAGGAGCAGCATGGTCTTCACCTTATCTCTCTTTTATTACATGCATTTACAAGTACGCTTTTCCTTTCCTCTGCTACTCTTCCTACTGAGAAAATAAAGTTTAGGGGTAAATGCTGTAGTGCTGTGCGGTAGACAGGCCTGCATCCGGCATGCCCAGCTCCACATCTCCTGAGGCGTAGCCCAATCTGTCTCTCTGCTCGACATCTGCCGTCCCTGCCCTTACTCCAGAGTGGCATGTCAGTGGCACAGATGTGACTCCATAAACAGCAGTTGACATGCAAGACACGCAAGACTAACCATGTTAGTTGAAGCCCCTGGTCTTCAAGTTTTTTAAGATCATTTTCATTTTAATTTAAGATTGGAAAATGTCAAATGTTGCCTTTTGCTGTTACTGAAGGGAAATGAAGCATGAGAATATCTTTTCTATCTAATATATTCACATATCTTAATTTAATGGATGATAGGAAAATTCTTTCTCCTCTTCGGGCTTCTTCTTATCCAGTCTGATCACCTCAGCCAACTCCCACCTGCTACGCATGTGCAACCAAACTGTGTACATTTCCCAAAGTCATCTCTTCCACTAGCAGAGGACGATGTGATTATTTCTCACCTCATTCTGCAGATTACCCCTTTATCATAGGCAGTGGAGATGGCAAGCAGAGAAGGGATGGTTGCAGAGACTGAATAACCTGCATAGAGAAAGAGAATTGAATCAGATTTTGCAGTGTTGACTGGCAGCACATCTGATAGCCCCTGGAGCAGGCCTACAGATAAGCGCTGCGTCTTTATTAAAAACAGGCCTGCTACCTCTGCATGGCAGTCACAATAAACAAGGCTGCCTGTCTGTTGCCACTGTCCCTGTCTCCGTCCTCGCACTGCCTGACAGTGTGCTTTTTTGCCAAGCCGAGACTTGCTCTATGACCTTGTCCCACTTGCTTCGTTGCTCACCCCATATGACAACCCTAAAAGTAAACCTGCTCATTGGTCCCTTGCCTAACAAATCAATTCTTCCAAGCTATGTAGCTTTTTCATTAGTGCAGAAATCTACAGAAATCAGCTTTACCCAGTATTTATCCACAAACCTAAGCCGCAATGTTTAATACAGATGAAGCAACACGATGTTCCAAGGCAGCTTCCCAGAATTGCCTCAGAACATATTTAGGTTAAGTTGTCTCATGTCAGCTTTCTCAGAGGCACTCACAAAATGGTGTCCTTTGTGAAAGTTTTTTTTTTAATGACTAGCCAATGGTAGCTTTATTGGGTTCATGTTTTTTGTTTGTTTTCACATCTCAGGAATAGATAAAAATCTCACTGAAGGCGCCAGATATTCCAAGTGGTGCTATAAATACCAGTGCAAATGTTTATAATGTCACTAAGGTGCAAGGTTATCACTGGGCTCTGTGACACACACACACACACTGACACCCTAACTGATGCAGCCTTGTGAGTATTAATAGGCCTCTGTATGGGAGTAAGCTGCGGGAGAGATTTTCTCTGTCGTCGACAGAAACATTAGAGACCTTGAATGCTCAATCAGCCATTGAAGAAGTATTTGAAATGCTAAGTTGCTCGTGTGTTTGTTTCGTGCCTCCAGGTGAACATGACATCAGATCTGGAGGGGAGCGACATGTTGGCAGAGAAGGCTGATAGGAGGGAGTTCATCGACTTGTTAACCAAGATGCTGACCATTGACGCAGACAAGAGGATCACCCCTATTGAAACGCTCAACCACCCCTTTGTCACTATGTCGCATCTCCTCGATTTCCCGCACAGCACACAGTACGAGCTGAACAGACCCTGTTGTTGTTGTTGTTGTTGTTGTTGTTTATATAATTATCATTTTGAACAGTGAAATAACATCTGCCACTGTCACAAGACAGGGCACTCATTCCTTCTCTGTCTCCGTCACTCTCTGTCCGTGCAGCGTGAAGTCGTGCTTCCAGAACATGGAGATCTGTAAGCGTCGTGTCAACATGTACGACACAGTCAACCAGAGCAAGACGCCCTTTATCACCCATGTCGCCCCCAGCACCTCCACCAACCTCACCATGACCTTCAACAACCAGCTGAACACTGTGCACAGCCAGGTACAACTGAAAAAAATAAATAAGTATGCTGTTAGGCAACCTCTGATAGTGAGCTTTTATACTGCTTACAAGTATGTAAATTATTTTAGCTATGGGTTACTGCATTTCCACAGTAGGTTCAAATAACGTGATTGAGGAAATGCAGCTGGAAAGAGATAAAACTACAGATAAAAATAAAAATCGATGTGACTAAAGGAAGGAATCACATGACACACTTAGAACACTGCATATGTAGTGTATATGTATAAATATATGTATGTGTGATGTACATGTATCACAATAGATAATTTAAGCTGAGCTGAAACCCCTCAAGCAACAATATGAAAGATGCATCTAGCTTACACGCCCAGTCAAATGCTGTCTTAACAAAATAATTGTACTATAAACACCCAACTGTCAGTAGCTGAACAGCTTAGCAGCCTGTAAGCGGCTGTTTGTCCCTTTGTTCTATTTTTTTCTGTCCGTTCTCCCTGTCTGTCTGCGCGTTTCCATGCTTACTGGCCTGCCTTTCTGCCTTGGTGCATGTATATCTGTCTGCCTGCATTTCTGTCTGTGCCCCAGGTCCTGTGGGATTGTCACAAAGTGCTGATTACACACATGACAAGCCCCACTTCCTGCTTGCCTTGCATTCTGGGGCTTTCAGGCCTTAAGAATCCCTTTACCAGGCTTCCTCTCTTTTTCCCTCCTCTCACTCCTGTCCTCCTCTGTCTTCTCTTCTTTCCTCCCATTTCCCTGGGTTGAGCCTGTGGTGCTTTACCACTTCGTTCCCGTACGGTCTGTGAATCGAAACTGCTGACTTTTGGCTTATGCCGGAATCACCGAGCGTCGGGTTGCAAGGTTTTCCAGATTGTGCTTAGTTACAACTCCTGCTCCCCTCTCGCCCCCACCCCTCTCTTTAGTAAACAGAGTTCTTTATCACCAACTATATCGAGCCGGCTCACACTGTGTAGCATGCGACAAAAACCCCATCTTGCTGTGATTTAAATGGATTAACATTCCCGCAGCTTGTCTTTTCTGCGCCTGGCTCTCAGGGCATATAGACAGACTTAAGTTAGTGATTTATTCAGCCCGATTCATTTGCAAGGCTGGAACGCATCTTTGGCTTGTATTTTGCTGCTTCCGTGCTTGTGTATGATGAATGCCACAGTGCCATATTGATTATGTTCCCTCCCCTGGTGTTCATTGAACACACTAAAGAGTGCAAATGAAAAATGAAAGCGCTGTCTCTGTATTTCCCTCTGCCCCTACGTACGGTTAATGAAAGGGCTAAAATTAGACAGTGTCTTGTGGAGCAAATACTACTTACGAGCTGAGCAAACGGTGTCTCTTAAAAGCATTTGTTTGTATCTCGGATGTTCCTAGGCAGTCTTAGTAGCCCACATGTCTTATTAATGGGCAAGACATGCTGGAGTTACCTAAGCTTACATAATTATAGAATGACTGCTTGCTTTGAAATATTACTCTTGTCAGGCATATTGATTTGGAGGCTAGATAGTGAAGTTGTGACATGAAATGTCAAATTTTGCTGCAGCTTATTATATTGGCTCATATCGATTCTGTAACATTTACATTTAAACTTTAAGACTTTGAATATGATCTCCTTATAATTGTAACACGCATCATCTAAATGTCATAATAAGGGAGATATTAATGTTGCTGTGTGTACTGAAAGCAATAATACATTTCAAGTTTAGTATATTGTCACTATAGACAGTATACATTTTCTGTCCAGCAGCTCATTATTAGTCTAAAAAAGTATTGTTCATTTGGCTGTTAAGTGCTGTTAATGATACAAAATTACGAAACTCTCAGTGTAAATGCACTCTGGTGCCATTTTGCTCATTGATGGTTGATTATTCTAAGAATTGTAGAATTGATTGCATCTCTCCTCACATTCTTTCTCTCCCTCTAATTAATCAAATCAACAGTTCGCATATTTTAAGGCACGTTCAAATCAGTTGTCCAATTTCCTTATTTTTCCATGAGCTCTCATCAATGATGGATGCCCCCCCATCCATCTTTTCTTGATCTGGTGGTTGTTTTGCATCTTTGCGTGTGCCTTTTTTTTGCAAGAATGTTGTTATCTCTCTGTTTTACCATGCCTGCTTTTCAACCCTTCCCTCCTTGGAGCTCTTCCACTTCCCTGTCATTCCCATCAGTACCTCCACTCTCATGAATTTTATTTTGGTCCCATCATTCCTTTAGGCCACCAACCTGGCTCCCTCCTCCACCAACAATGCCACCCTTTCCTTTGCAAGTCCTGATGTCTCCATACTAAACTACCAATCTGCACTCTACCAGCCCACCGCTGCCTCCATGGCAGCCGTGGCCCAGAGGAGCATGCCCCTGCAGCCGGGGGCTCCTCAGCTCTGCGCTGCCCGACCCGACCCCTTCCAGCAGGCGCTCATCGTCTGCCCACCTGGCTTCCAAGGTAAGGAGGTCTAACCCGTCAGTATGCTTTAATTTGAACGGATAGAGTGAGTCATCTGTGCTAAACACAGGATTTCAGCCATGAGCGCCTGCACTAGCAACAAGTCATAATAAAACACAATTAAACAGCATTTATCTACATACTGTATACCACTGTAGTCGGGTTCAGTTCTATCTCTGTGCACAGATCGTACTCCTCTTTTTGCTAGCTTTTTGTCATTTTGTTTTGCAGCTTTAGCCTAGCACCCCACAGGCACTGTCAATCGTACCATACAAACAGTGATTCAATGATATCTTGATGAGGCAATTAATCATTTGAAAGGAAATTTAATATCTTTGTGTAATGCTTACTCACCCCCCTTTTGTCTCTTTTGTTTGCACTGGGACGGCAGAAGTGCTCTAAGGCATTATTCTATTTGTTTATTTATTCTTACTGTGGAATGGGTGATTAAAAGAATTTCCATTATTAGAAACTGTTTTTATACTATTGCCATGACTACTGTTTTTATTTTTCTAAGTAGTGTTGCTATGTTCGAACATAGCAGAAGAGCTTTGACATCTGTGGAATGCAGATAAATCAGTGTGCATATATAACACATTATCAGATCTATACCTTTTGCAGATGGCATGAGATTGTTTAAGTTACAGATATGGAGAGTATTTCTGTATTTATTTGTTGACATCCTTTGTGCATATGTTTTATTTGTGCACAGGGCTGCAGGCGTCCCCTTCCAAGCACACCAGTTACTCTGTGCGGATGGAGAATGCTGTTCCCATAGTGACCCAGGCCCCTGGTGCTCAGCCTCTTCAGATCCAACCTGGCCTGCTTACACAGGTAGGAAGACGCTCAAGTATCACAACAAGGAACTAATAGAGTTTTTTGGGTCTTAACAATAACAGTGCCTGTCAGACTTGAAACTGCTCACATTCAAACAAAGCTCTCTGCATCCCTTTTTTATAAGCCATTGCTAAGAATAGTATCTATCGATGGAGGCTGAAAATCACTCAGTGTTCGTGACCCTGCCCCTGCTGGCAGCTGTTTTTTCCTGGGCGCATTCAGGCCAAGCTCTCCTGTGCATTGCTCTTGGTCTCTCTCTCTCTCTCTCTCTCTCTCTCTCTCTTGTCTCTCTGTCTCTCTGTCTCTCCTCTTACTCTCTCCCCCTTGCTCACTCTCTCCTATGCCCCGCTCTCCTGGAGGCTGAGGCTGCCACGGTCTGATGCACACAAAGGCAGGAGCCTTTCACACAGAGAAGGCCTTCACTGAGGCCTGCACAGTGGAGCCGGAGCTTTAGCTGCTAGTATACAGTTGTTGAAATTAACAGAGAGTGACTGTGCATCACTTTCTCTGCACACACACAC